GAATTATATGAAAGATGAAAAAATAAGTAAACAAAGAACTTTCATATAATGTTATATATTCGCGCACTTTTACTGTAAATAGATTCTATTAGAATTTATCTCTTTTATGTTTTTTTTTTTTTATATGATTCTTACTTTATTTTTCTTTGTCTTATATAATGCTTATTATTCTTTTATTTTTATTTTTATTAATTACTAATAAAAATTATTATCTTTCATGTTTTTTCTTATTCTTTTCTTTATTCTATCATTGTCTTTTATAAAAAATAAACTAAAATTATGTTTCCAATTCTATACGTTTTTAAATAAAAAACAAAACAAAAATATATATTTATTTGGAAGAAAGACAAATTAGAATTAAAAAAAGAAAAGATAAAAACAATCAAAAGAAGTTATTAACATAAAAAGCCGATATATGATTTGATAATCATTTTATATGATTAACCTAATAATTAATTTAATAATTTATTTATATAAATATAAAAGTAATTAAATTTACTAAATAAATATTAATGGTTTATATTTTGTATTAAATATTTCTCAAATTGATAATGAATGAATCAATATTTAAGTAATTATATATAATCATAAATCTTATTATTATATGTAGTTATTATATGTAATTATTAAAATGTACTAAATTATTATTAATAATAAATAAAAGTTTCTTACTTTTTAATAGACACAAAATATGCAAAGAAAATAAAATTATTATTATAATAATCAAATTAAGAGAATAATAACGTGTTCTTGTTCGTTTCGATTCAAATTGTTAGATCAAAATAACTGTCTAGCAAAAGTGTACTTACTTCTATGTAAACCCAAGGAATAATATTAAGCCGAAAAGAATTGATATTTATATAAGTGTAAGTACAATTGCGAAAAACCGAAACTAACAAATTATTATTAGACGTATTGATAACAATCATGTTTAGTATAATTGTGCCCATAATTCTGAAAGTGGTCTAAGTCAAAATTAATAAAAAATGAGTTTATCAGTTATTACGCACTACATTATTATAAACTATATAAATTCAATGTAATTTTCACGATATTAATAAAGATGAATCTTTAGATAATGTTTGCTATTTCAATATTGTAATCAATTCGTATAGTGTTCAAGTATAAATCTTTAAATATCTCGAAACAAGAGATATATGACTTAGACCACTTTCATAATTATGGGCACAATTATACAGTAATACCCTCAGGAATAGACGTGATTATAAACGAACTTATCAAATATAGAGAAAGCTCACTAACAGAGGAATTAAGCAATCTATGCAGCAAAACAATTAATGCAATAAATGTGAAAGTGCATTTAATATGAAAGTATAACAATATATATATTCCAAAACGGAGCTGGAGCAGATACGATAAATTTCTGTAGAATCAGTCTCTTAACTCTTTCGTTCATGAGTGCTAGGAACAAAATGTGATCACTTTAATCGGAGAGCATTATTGAGTAGTTGACATTGAGGTACGGAATGCTATAAAATTATTATAAGGCGTTTATAGTTCTCTAAATTTTACAATGATATTTATTATATTTAGTAATATTACTTTACTCTCTAAAATATAAAAATTTATAATTACTATTATTTTTAAAATTTTTATCAATACTATTATAAAAATTGCTGATATATATTCGTCGCTTACGATGTTCTAAAAAAGACTGAAAGAGTGTATCATTAAAATAAAAAACACAATATCATTTATTTATTATTCTATTATTTCATGATAGATATCTATTTAAGGCATGCAGATACTCGATTAATAAAAGTATCTCATGTAATATATAAAATAAATGTATAAATATTATAAACGTATATGAAAAAAATTCGAATGAAGAAAAAAGGCTAGGATAAAGTTCAGGTCTGTCAAAAATATTGTTACACACTATAAAAATTTCAAAAAGATTTAAATTTATTTCATAAAAATATTCGTAAATATAAAAAGTTTTATTTGTTTTACAAATGATACTTCTGATAAATATATTTCAATTATAAAAGACTTATTATAAAATTTCGAAAACTTTTAAAAATATATTTACATTCATTATGATTTTTATATCTCCTTTTACATAACATTATAATTTCTCACTATTAATCATCATACGATGGATTTGTAAAAATATACAATATATGTTGTATAAATTACATAATATTAGTAAATATTATGTATTATATATATATATATCAAATAATACAAAAATCAAGATAAAATATTTTATTTAAATTTATAAAACAAAATAAAATATTGTATATATTATTCTAAATATTTTATTTTAGTTTTATAGGATAAAATAAAATATTTTAATAATCTTAATTTTATTTGTTATTTTAGTAGTATTTTATTTCAATTTTGAATAATCAACTACCTAAAATAATATTTGAAATATCATTTCAGATATATTGCATGGCGCATTCAGATTTATTCTGCGCTTACTTTTTACATAGAAAGAATCGTTTCTTTTGCTTGTTTTCGAAAAGTATTAAAGTTTTCCTTATTTAAGAAAAATGACTACTTAACGAAAATAATAACTTAGAATTTTAACCCGACAATTGTCGATTCAAGTATTAATATATAACAAATTACCATATATTAACAAAAAATAACAATAGGTAAGAGATTATAAATGTATTTGTAAATGTGATAATAAAATATATAAAACAAATTTTTACTGAACGTTAGATAAACTGCAGTAGAAATTACAACACAGATTACAATCTTTCTATATTTATTAGTTTCGAATATTATACACGAAAAAAGGACAATATTCAACAGTCATTATTTAATATTAGTATGATAAAATTTTTAGTACTATACATTCATCATTCAAACGCACACAAAAATTACTTTTCTGATTGAATATACTATACATGCAATTTATATTATATAAGATTCATCTATTAAAAGAAAAACAAATAAATCAACAAGTTTTGTATTTTAGCTTCTACTTTAGATCCTATGTGTTCTCAGATAGATATAAGAAAAAGTTGAAAGGATCACAAAGACGAAACTTACAAACCATAAAGAATTAGTTGATTCTTTTGTTTTTTAATTAATTAATTATGAATTACAGTACTTTTTCAAAGAACAATAAATAATACCATTGAAGCTAAAAAACACGACAACTTACAACAAAAAGGTCTCAAGTAATAAAATCAAAATATATACAATAAGGATTACGTTTTTTTTTAAAGTTCAACACGTGACAAAAGTTTTCCTCTTCATTTATAGACTTATTCTTCTATCAGAATAAGCAACTTCATATTCTTCTCTTACTGGACGTATTTTTCTCACATTGCGCATGACAATAACATAAATCATTCCAATCACTATTGCCACAACTACAAACAATATTATAATTGACTTTAATTTTGAAGAATTTCGACACGTTTGGTCTATATTTATCTGATGCAATGGAATATTGTTATTTGGACATTTTACATKTTTTAGATCTTTAAGATGATCTCGAATTGATATGAGAAATTTCATTAGATCATAATTTTTGCAAGTACATAAAATTGGGTTTCCACTAAATGTGAATTTTTTCCAATGTAATGATTTCAAGTAATCTACAACTTTATACTTAATTATTGATATATCGTTATTATGTAATTCCAATACCTAAAAAAAAAAGTATAGGAAAAATTTATTCAAATTTAAAGATTAAATCTAACGAATAAAATAACCAATAGTAAAATAAAAAATTTCGTACTTGAAGGCTACTTGGTAATCCATCAAGCGTTATGTTAGATATTTTATTATTGGATAAGAGTAGACTCGTAACGTTTATTGGATAAAACGGTTTAAGTGACGGTATCTCCTTTAAATAATTTCCTGTCAAATTTATAATTAAAGGATTGTCTTTTTGAAAGATAATCCTTGTCTTATCGATTATAAATTTAGTCTTTTTTCTATACGAGCAATCTAAAATACGAGTCTTGTCTAACAGTCTAACACTACAAGTACAACCATCTTGACACCGTTCTGTAGTTTTAAAGTATTCGTTCTCACTACATATATAATTTTCGAAATTCAGATTACTAATGTCTTTATCAATAATTCCATCAGTGTTTGGACACGTTAAGTTTCCGAATGTAATATTATAGTTATCATAAACATCTTTGGTCATGTTTTCTCCCAGATAACGTAGAATATTATAAAAAGAACAATCACATAATAAAGGATTGTGTTGCATGTAAATAACAGTATTACGGTCCTCTTTAGACTTAGATACAACTTCCTCGATCTGATCTAAATTTAAATGTGTTATATTATTATAACTAAGATCGACTATAATTTCGAGTGACGGTAAAGTGAATAAAGATGTCTACGGGATAAAAAAAATAAATAAATGAGGCTGCATTTAGACGATTATTTAAGCCTATGTATTTGTATTATATTTCGTTATCTTACCGATACGTTTCTAATCATATTGTGACTCAAATCTAAAATCATTAAGTCATTATTACCAGTTGACCAATCATCAAAGAACTTTTTAGTGCTACAATTCGATAAATACAATTCTTTGAGATGTTGATTGGTATCAAATATTGGCAATTGGTGATTTGTATGATTAAGTTTTAGTGGATTATGAGATAACCTTGCAATGTTTAGATTTTTAAGTGAGCGAAATACCTCTCTGCTAATATAATTTATTCGATTTCTTTCTATATTTAATTTATATAAAGAACCCAATCCGTTAAATAGATCACTAAAAAATAAACAGTTTTTAAGATAAATATATAATTAAAAAAAATGGTTTTGATACTTATGTACTCATGTATGAAGTTATACTTTTTTGGCGTAAAAAACAGAACAAGTATACAACTTGAATAACTTAAAACTAGCTCAAAAATATATTTTGGATAAATTGTTAATTAAATCACCTTGATAAACGATAAATTCCATTGCTTGATAAATCGAGTTCCAATAAATTTACCAT